CAATGTGCATTGGCTTGTTTAGTTTACACTCGAAGTAGATTGGTCTATCGAAGCGATATCCCAATTCATCGGTCACGACGTGACTCGTAGTGACCGACTGAAAGGGAACTATTTTACCTTTTGATTAATTGGAGGCCATTTTTTATGAATCTGTCCAATTTCATCCATACATTTTTGTATAATCTGCTTATTCTCCACTAAGGATTATGTTTAGGGGTAGACCTTCATGCTTAGTTTCTTTTCTAAAGACTTTCCAATATTCTTTTATCCTGCTAGACAAAAATGGATACCAACATCGGCCCATCAGCGACTGAGGCACAGGCTGATTTGACCCCTAAAGGCAATTAAATCCTAAAGCATGAGGATATGACAGAAAAGTCCAGCACATCTGTGTTCACTTAGTCACAAAGACGTCAGGTGGGGAGGTGCGAAGTCACTGAACCAAATATAGATATAAAATCTTGGTATTTACTTAGTTGCTTGAATCAGCTTGAAAGCAACACATAATCTGAGTTGCTCTCTGTCATGACAGTCAAACTTTTATGGTGTTTCAGCAGGTCAGATGTAGAATTCAAAACACTGACGCACACATCAAAACATCTCCACAGATGAGCTCCAATGCCCTGTTTAAATTATTAATAGAAGGTGACTAATCTGACCCTCAGGTCAGTGTGCAGGAAAACCCCTGAATAACATAAAAACTGGACGGGGTTAAAGTCTCTCACAGCAGAAAACACTAGTACAACAGCAAGTCCAGCAGTATGTCTGATAGTGTAAGAGCTTTTGCATATACTGTGTGTGACTGGGATTTTAAGATGTACAGGTCACGGAAATACTGATTACAACAGTATACATTCTTACAATAGTATCTTTGACAGAATCAAGACAACAGATTTGCATGAACTGCTGCACTTACAATAAATTCTCCCATATTCTGTGGCTAGTTGCATAAATGCTTAGACTCATAAGTTAGTCATCTATTTTTTTTAAGACTGTACATAACTTTTTCAAGTCACGTACATAAATTGGTCTAATTTGATTCTAAAAAGTAAGATAGATTACACTTTGAATAACTGCTAGTTGGTCAGTCTTATCGTAGTAACTACATTTATGCACCCGGCCCCTGATCTCATTGTTAAAGCGTAAAAATAGATAAATGCTCAATACTTCCCTACAGCGTGCTAGGAATATAGCTCTTAATTTGTGTAAATTAAATACAAATTTGCACGTGTTTTTGAAATGGTACCCTATTTGTCTCTGTATTTTGTGTACCATGTATTTTATTTGTAGCTCAGCAGGTCAGATGTAGAATTCAAAACACTGACGCACACATCAAAACATCTCCACAGATGAGCTCCAATGCCCTGTTTAAATTATTAATAGAAGGTGACTAATCTGACCCTCAGGTCAGTGTGCAGGAAAACCCCTGAATAACATAAAAACTGGACGGGGTTAAAGTCTCTCACAGCAGAAAACACTAGTACAACAGCAAGTCCAGCAGTATGTCTGATAGTGTAAGAGCTTTTGCATATACTGTGTCTGACTGGGATTTTAAGATGTACAGGTCACGGAAATACTGATTACAACAGTATTCATTCTTACAATAGTATCTTTGACAGAATCAAGACAACAGATTTGCATGAACTGCTGCACTTACAATAAATTCTCCCATATTCTGTGGCTAGTTGCATAAATGCTTAGACTCATAAGTTAGTCATCTATTTTTTTTAAGACTGTACATAACTTTTTCAAGTCACGTACATAAATTGGTCTAATTTGATTCTAAAAAGTAAGATAGATTACACTTTGAATAACTGCTAGTTGGTCAGTCTTATCGTAGTAACTACATTTATGCACCCGGCCCCTGATCTCATTGTTAAAGCGTAAAAATAGATAAATGCTCAATACTTCCCTACAGCGTGCTAGGAATATAGCTCTTAATTTGTGTAAATTAAATACAAATTTGCACGTGTTTTTGAAATGGTACCCTATTTGTCTCTGTATTTTGTGTACCATGTATTTTATTTGTAGCTGCATTTGCAATGCAATTGCAATGTAATGCGTTTCTAACCACATTTCCTTAAATCTTCTGCTGTATTGTGAAAGCCTTCAACATGACTAAGTGGAATGAAAACCTCCTGAAGAGTGGCAAAGTTATGAACGTCCCTCTGAAATCTGAGGTATGCTTTTATGATGCAGTGAGAGGGAATTCATAACTTTATCACTCTCAAGGGTGCTTTCATCTTTAATGTACAACACTGGAGGGCACAGCAAACACGTCCATCACTCTAGCAATGACCTTCCACAGGTGTAAGTGAAGGACGTGTTTGTGGTACCTTCATGAAGAGTCTTGCTAAAAAAAATAAAAACACAACTTAAAACAGCCTGGTTTGCTGGTCTAAGCTGGTTTATGCTGGTCTCCAATGTGTTTAGTTTGGTTTAGCTGGGCAACCTGCTGAGAAAAAAACGGCTTAATCCAGCCTAGTCTGTGAACTGGTTTTAGAGTGGTATTGTACACAGCATACCAGCTTAGACTGGTTAAAGGTGTTTTTAGCATAAAGTAAGCTCGTGAATGTAGTTTATGCTTCAGTTCTCCCCAACATATCCACCCACACCTGACAAACCTCCAGACTCAAACTCAACAGCCCCACTGACAGTTTTCTAGCCTTTCTCCCGTCCTTACCTTCCAGCATAACTTCTCTGCCCGCTTTCTTCAGCACCTGCACCGCCTCGTCGTGCGTGGCGTCCCGCAGATTGATCGCGTTCACGGACAGTATCGCGTCCCCTACATAGAGCGCTTGAGTCTGATCCGCAGCCAGACCTCTGAATATTTTACTGATAAGAATAGGCATCTTGTTCTCCTTCCCGCCTTTGATGCTTATCCCTAATCCACCGACCTCCTGCTTGATAACCTTGACGCATCTTTTGCGGTTCGCAATCGCTTCGGGCACTTGGGAATCCGTAAAAGGAGTCCTTACTCCGGCTTTGGGGCTGTTCGTGGGGTCCGGTTGGTCGTAGGAGCCGTTGGTGGTGATGCCGTTCAGGTTAACGCCGGTGTCTGTCGCGGTCTCCTCGCAGCTGAGCGTCAGCGACTCGTCGCTTAAACTCGCCAGGACCGCGTGCCATCGCTCCCGTACTAGCACCTCCAAACATGCACTTTTCTGCACTCTGTTACTACAAACCGCCATCTTTGAAGCATTCTTTAAATGCCATGTGATTTCATACACACGCACAGGACTTTACCCCCGGACAGGGAAAAAGTTGCGATTCAGGTTGGATAGTTTCAGCCACTCTACAGGCTCCACATGCATATCCTCTTTGGGTGGAGCAAATGGCTGAGCTGTCCTGTGTGTGGCCATGCTGAACTCTCTGTCAGGAACAGTTCGGATTGAAGTCTGTGTGATTCGTCTGTTTAAATGCATCATTGATCACAGCCATGGTCTTGTATAGCCTACCTAAAATGTGTTTAGCACTACCTCCATAATGAAAGTCAAATCTTTCAGTCGGCTGTTATGTCGGTTCGTTTTTAATGTTGTTTGAAGTTAGCATTTTGGGAATGATACAAAGACTTCAATGGAGGTTACTGTAAAGGAATGTATGGTAGAAATGTTCTGGTGATACTTGTTCCGTCTAATGTGTTTCTTATTAACGTTACCTACCTAATTTCTGTTCACCAGCGTTTACAGCCACTTAATTGTAATCACACTTGTGTGGTCACTGAAATATTAAACGCCAACTATATTAAAATAGTAATAAAAAAAAGAATATGTTATTTTAAGACCGCAATGACCACCCGTGATTAGCGCCTTGTGTATGGTTTCCGCGGTGCAATTCACACTAGCCTAATTGCGGTGCAGTTTTTGAATTAAACTGAAAGTTTTGTACGTTCACTCACTGTTGTCGTCAAAAGTACGTAATTGGAAAACGTTTTTTTTGTGATGATTATCTCCAAGCAAAGCAAGGTGACAAAAACGGATGTGTTATAGGCTCTCTGTAAACAAAACGCTGCAATGAACAGTGCACCAGACCGCACGGCTTTCAGTGACGCTAAAGGAAAGTTTTTACTGCCATCTAGTGTTTGTTATTGGTTACTGCATTTACATGACACCACTAAAGATAAGAAATAGAGCGCAATCTACCTCTAAAGAGCAATTTTTTTCTTTTTTTGTTTGTTTGCATTTTATAAACTTTGTATTTATATTTATTATCTTATTTTATTTTAATCAGTATTTTCTTGTATGTGAGCATTTTTTGTGTACACGTTTGCAGTATAGCTCTTTCCCACACAGCAATTTTCAAATATATTTGTAATATAAATCAAAATATACAAAAATGCCAGCAATATATATATATATATATATATATATATATATTGCCCTATATATTTCAACCCATGAAAATACAGTCTCATGTCACTTTTGAAGAAAAAATTTATCTGTCTATAACATGTCTATAACACATTTGAATAAAATTCAGTAAGGAACATACTTTACAATGTTCCAAAAAATCATGTTACAATAGGCCAATATTAAAAAATGAAACCATATTTTTTTATCACTAGACTATCTACTTTTGCATTTAGCCTAAATGTAGGCTGCTGTAATATTGGAAATGTGTTATTTTTGCCCCTGAAATACGTTTTGAGTATATGAAGGTTGAAATTAAATATACTTACTATTTCAGAAAATATATTTAATTGAGCTTTACTGTTTACAACATATATTTAGAATATAGTTTAAACATATTTTGGCAAACAAAGCTATGCAGTTGTTGTTGGAATACATGCATTTAAAGATACATGCACGAAAACAGCGTTTCTGCTTCCTTTAAAAATAGTTATTTTCAAAATGATATAATAAATGATCTGTGGGGTATTTTGAGCTGGAACTTCACAGACACATTCTGGGGACACCTGAGACTTATATAACATGTTGTAGAAAGGGGCCTAATAGGTCACCTTTAAAAGGTCACCTTTTAAGCTTGACTATTGATCAAAGCAAGAAAGATAAGCTGTAGACTAAATTAGTTCCTCAAAAGAAGCATTTTCTAAATAGCAGGTTATATTTGCAAACATGATTGTGATTTAAAACCCTTGCATTTCCACTCTGGTTTAGAATCTGACTTTGAAGCAAACACTATGATCACATACAATACTGCAGTAAAATGTGATTAGAAGTGATTTCATGAAGCTATCTAAAGAAAATGAGAAGAACAGTAGTGTTGCTGTGTGCCAAAGGCATCCTAAACAATGTTTCATGTCATTCTAGGTTTGATTATGACTAAATTAAGGATTAAGACTTGCATGAAATTTACAAGTTAACCCCACAACAACTTGTAGGAATCTATGCCTGCAATTTACAAGGACTGCTGTACCCAGAGGAAAGCCCCCCCCCCCTCTTTTTCCTTTCTAAATTGTGCAAGTGCTTTTCTGTTGGTCCCTCACAACAGTGAAACAGCAGGGAGGCACATGCAGCTCATTATAGTTGAAATCAAAGGCTATGTGAAACATTAGTGCTCTCCAGTGTATAGCGAGAAGAGAATGACTCAAAGGTGCATTTTCATTACTTTCCCACTACCGTCGAGATTCTTTCTGTGTGCAGTTTAAGTGAACAATTATCTTGATACTAATTACTAAATAAAGCACCTATCAGTAGTGGTGCGCAGATTATTCAATGACTTATGCATCGTCAGTATTTCTGTCAAAATTTTAGTCTGAGATTTTTAACAGGGCGCACAGATTTTAGCCTATATAAATTTATAATAAAGTGAAAAATAATTACAATACATTTCTTTTATATCAACATCCCAAACTGATCCTTATATCCAGCTAACAAAAATATGTTCTACATATGTTTTCCCATTACGTTATGAAAATGGGAATCTTACTTTTGAATGTTCTCTAAACATTTAGAAACAAGTAGCAAAGTAGATGTTATTATTAAAAATAATAATATCTTTGTGCTAACATTTTGAGAACATAAAGACCAGATAACTTTCAATGAACATTCTATCAATGTAATTGAAAGAACGTTTCTTTATCATTTTGAGAGAATCTAGAATGTCATTTTGATAGGAATCTAAGCACTCAGGAATTTTGTGGAAGATTATGGAAGATTTCACAACAGGTTCAAGCTGCGGGTTCAATGCAATTGTATGCATTTTCTATATTTTATAATATTTAAATGACTTACTTAAATTGTTGTTGAAATATGCTGTTAAAAATATTTAAACACATATTTATATAAAAGAAAAAAATAATAACAGTCCATATAAAACCTATAAGTCTATATAACTGTCCCACTGTCCTCCAGAATTTTGTTTTTATTTCTCAGCCTGGCTGTCAGTGTATATTGTTGGGTACTGCTATTGCATTGCATCATGGGAACAGAGTGGAGGACCAAGCTGTAATGCAATAAATGTGTATTATTCTACTGAGAAATTAAGACCAAGATGTCAAGGTGATCCATAAGAAATGTCTGTTAAATCAAAATGTGCATTTTGGATGCAAATTGCCAAGGAATGGCACACTTTATTAACTCCAGTAGAAACTAAGAATAACAGTATAAGGAATAAGTAAGCAAAATATAGTTTTTAAGACATTTTAATGCAGATCTCATCAAAGCTTCAACTAACTGGCCATTTGTGGCACGCCTTTACACAACCAATGCCATGTGGTCTGAAACAAAAACTTAATTCCTGGCGTCAAATGTTCCTGCTGTTTAAATTAACACATAGTTTGCTTTTAACACTTGTTACAAATGTGAAGGTGGACACTTGTGCCAAATGTTTTTTTTGTTTTCAAATACTGCTCAAATGTATTCATATGGAGGCATCGTTAGAAAGCCACATTATGCAGTAAATGAAAACAGCAGTTCTATGTTTGGGGAACGTGGTGGTCTTATCTGCTATAGTAGTGATATGCAGTACAATAGGTGCCAGAGGTGTGCTCATTAAAACAACACATCTAAGACGCCTGTATTTTTCTACTAAAGCCAATTATGAATTTTATTTTTATGGCCTTTCCTCCTCCCCCTGCCCAACATATTTTTAAGATCCTGAAAACTTATATTGGCAAGGATTCAACCAAAGACACTAATTTCTCCTTGATCATAACAGTCGTCAAAATATGGAAATGTGGAGCGACACAATTATAAGAACACCTTATATAAGGTAATTAGAGAAATAATCAGCTTATATTGCTTAAGAAACTCTCGGGGAAATTATTTGTATTCATAAATAAAACATCACATAAGTTCAACCTTCTTCACAGTTCAATCAAGTAATGACAAAACAAGTTCACCTACGGGGCTAGAGTATGGAAGATAAATGTGGCAAAATATGTCATTCAGGACCATCTTTAATACAATACTGCCATTAGAATAAAAGGACATATATTTTTATGTTGTTTAAACACCTTCAACATTACATCTTGAAATATGTTACAGCTCAGTTTTCTGATATGTACTATGATCACTGTACGGTGATCAGTTGATATGAACCTCTGAAGTTGTTATAAATTATGATTCATAAATTAGAAGTTAGAAAGAACAAAAAGAAGAACCAGGAGTGAAAAAAAAATCTACATTTATCATGGCCTACTGGCATTGCTATGACAACACAGCTGTCGCACTGCAAGATTTCCAGACATTTGAATTGCTTATTTTACAAATTCTGTGAAAGAATTATTTAAATACCCAACCATGACACCATATTCTTTGTGACTGACAGTAGGACAGAAGAACTGTGCAGTTTCAATGCACAATTCCACTAGCTGTGTTTTCCCATTTCAATCCAATTATTTTGTTATTTTTAACTGATGGACTGTTAATATGCCAGAGGCATTGTGGAATAATATTACCTGAGCTGGTGTATAACAAGGTGTGAGTAATATGCCCATAAGCTGACCCTTGAAACATATTGGAAGGTTAATTAAATGCAATATTCTCTCCAGCCTTTTCCATTTAAGTTCATTAAAAGCCTTACTGGGCTGTACTGCTGCTTTCCATCACGATGTGTCTTTGTATATGTATGCAGTTTTTTTCAATCATGTTTCAATCATACTATCAAATGTCTCAGGTCAATGTTTCACATGCTTCAAAGTTCAAACGGTGATGCAGGAACAAAAATAAAATGCATTGTAGTTGTAAGAAATAACAATCAAACATGCTATATTTATATATTTATCTGCATTTTGACCTCAGTTAATTTTCACTCCTTCCACTGTGTTTTGCAGGACAACTTGGCCCATAAGCAGCTCTAGGTTTACTAAAAACAGGTCAGTGGCATCATATTCTGTGGATGCCTTCACCACTTCTCCAGGGGCTTCCATTGTAGGAGTAAGATAGGTTAACTTG